TCCTTCCACCTCGGTGTTTTCAACAACCTGTTCGGCACTTGGCATGATCAGGGGGGGCGAACCTGGCTTCCCAGCATGCGGTTGCCCCCTTCCTCTCTGCGGGACGTGGTTATATTCGTCCCGGCTTCAGGGGTGGAGTTCGCCGCATTGATTTCCGCTCGAGGGATAGTCAAGAAGCATTCCCGCGCTTCTCTCTGGTCTCCCCGATGAGTCCCTTCCCCGTCCGAGGTCGGGAACTTGATGGAGTAATGGAAAATAGAGACGGCTCCCCTCAGCTTGTAGAGAGCCGTCCTGCCCAGGATGGCATTGTATTCGCTCGGGCAATCCACTATCTTGAAAGTTTCCAGAATAGTTCGCGTGGGCTGCGCCTTCTCCCCGAACTTGATCGGCAACGTTACCTGACCAACGGGGGTTGTCATTTGGCCGTTAAACCCCTGGATCTGCTCCCGGCAGGGTTGCACTTCCTTCCTGTCAATCCCCATTTTCTTGAACGTGCTGTAATACAGGATGCTCGCATAGGCCCCGGTGTCGACCATTATTCGGTAGATCTTGATCGCCATTATTGGGGCCGTGATCACCAGGGCGTCCGAGTGGGGATGGTCGAACAGAAATTCATCCTCATCAGTGAAGGATATTTTGTTGGGCGTCGGCTCAGCTGCCGGTCTGCTTCCAGCGTGCATCACTCTCTGCCCGGCATAATAAGCCTGTCGGGCGTAGGCCTTTGTCTGCCTTCTCGAAATGAGGGATTCACCCCGGCTTGTGTTAACGCGCCGGGTTGAGAAATCAGCCAGGTCGGTACCCGACCGCGGGGATCGATCTCTTTTTCTTCCTGCGGAGGTGCCGGACTCACCTTGATGGGCCGGATTGAACATTAGGATCTCATTAGGCACGCCCTGCTGTGGTTTTTTCCTCTGGGGGTTCATGTCAGCATCTTCGTCGCTGTCGAGGCCGTCCCCGAAGCGGCCTCCTTTCTTTCTCTTCTTACCAGAGTGAGTGAACTTCTTGACTTGAGGGTCGTCAATCAGCTTGAGCAGCGCCGCGATCAAGTTACGGCACTGGTCTGTGTTGTGTCCATGTGCCTTGTGGTAGGCGCAATATCGGGACTTGTCCACCTTGTCTTTGTCGGTGAACATGGGTTTCGGGTCCGGCAACAAGCCCTTCGCTTTGATCTCCTCGTAGACCGCGGCAGCACCAACGGAGAAAACGCCCTGGAAGCTTTCTTTGAGCTCCTCTTCTCTCTGTCTCCTCATGGCCCGCACCTCGGCGAATGTCTTGCCAGACTTCCCTGATTTGTCTTTATTATTGTCCTTGCTTGTCGCGGCGTCCAACACCGGGATGGACGAGGATTCCTCAGCCATAATGTAATTTTGGGCTTTGACGAGGAATTCTTGGTAGGTGGCTGGCTTGTTCTGGCACAAGGACCATTTAAACAGGGTTTTCGGCCTTAGCCCGGCCTGCACGGAGACGAGCAGGGTCTCGGGATGGCACTGTTCTATATTTTGAACTCGGTCGTTAAACCGGGTGAATAGTCCTTCAGGCTCTCGTCCTCGCCTTGGACAATGTTGGCGATTGATTCCTTGGGGGCCAGGCTGATTTGTGATCCGATGAAGTGCGATCGGAATGCCGACCTGAGCTGGCCCCAAGTGCAGATAGAGTGTGGATATAGAGAATGGTACCACCTCTGCGCCTTCGGTCCTAGGGTCAGGGAAAACATGCGACAGCGTAAGGCGTCTGTCGCACCGTGCAGGTCCATCCATGAGGTGTAAAGGCCGATGTGGGAGTCGGGATCCGAGTTTCCGTCATAAAGTCCG